AGTAATAATTGGTCTCTAGTCTCCGAAAAACTGAGAAAGCAATAAAACTGCCTAGCACCCAGTTGCCACAAAATGAAAGCATAAAGCCACATGACTTAATAGCAGTGTAATCATCAGTAGTGTTATTTTGTGTATGAGAGTTCACCTGCTTTAATAGGAGGATTAAGGCTGATAAAATGCAATTGCACTGCTGCTTTCTGCTCCATTGGATGACAGGATAAAGCTCCTTTTCTGTCCCAGCATAAGCTCAAGTGCTTTCTAAGAATAATTTCCACATGGGAAGAAATATCCTGGGGTTTTGGTTCTTTTTCTGTTCTACAGTAAGACACATGGTGGTCTAATTTCAGTGTATTCCCAGGCTTTAAAACTGGTTTGCCTTTGCACTATCCCGTTTTATTATTTTACAGGAACATTTTTCTGAAGTAACAAAAGAAACTCTGGAGAAATAATGAGGCACATAAGTACCTTGAAAGGAAATAGTGAACACAAATAAATCTACTAGGAATAATAACGGCTCCCTCCACAAAAAATAAAGTATCAGGGACTGTATTTAATGATCTTTGTTCTAGAATAACTTTTTGCTACAGTGGAAAGAAGTCTTTGGGTGCAGGATTTGCATTGCTTATCCATTATTTCATTACAGCAATGCCATATTTTCTGCAGCACTCACAGCTGACAGGTAATAGCGTAAGCATTCACTGCTTCTGTTACATTAAAAGTAATAAATTTGTAGCTAATACAGACTGATATCACCATTATTCTTAATGTTGGAAGCGAAGTGATCTCAATTAATAATTAGGAAAGAGCTGGGTTTTTTCAGCACCTGAGATTCCTCAGATGCGTTTCTTCCTTAATGGTTTAAACAACGTGTTAGGGAAGGCTACAGAAATCTCTCAAAGCATAGCTCTAGTCTTCTCTGCATATGAAATGGAAGTGTCAGTAATGTTCTCCTCCATGGCTTTGTGTCCTCGGTGTGGAGCAGATCAGGACCCACGCCAAGCTCCTGCATCTTGGAAACGCTCATTGACGCTGCGCGAAGGCTGCAAACTTCCAGTCGTCTGTTTCCTGCCAAAAGCCATTTAATCTTTAATGAGAAGTGTTTATTTTTATAATAAATCCATCAATCTGAAGAGGCAGCGAACCATCCTTCTCCAGAAGGGGACGGATGGCTGTGGCAAGGAAATCACGCTCGTGGGACAGGAACGGGAAGCGTGGAAGGGGCGGGCGCTGATGGTGAGAGCTGCTGTGATGGCTCTGACGGGCTGCAGGGGTTTAACTTTTCCAAGGGTCTGAGAAATTATTTTGGTCTTGTCAAGCAAATGGAAAAGGCTGTGGAATGCATTTTTAATTTATCCGTGGATTCACCTGAAATGCATTTGCCAACTCTCCCTTCCACGGTGAACACCGTTTCAGACCTGGAAGCTGCAAGTGAAGTTAGGCCTGGTCATGCTCACAATAACATCAAAATCCAAGGGAAGTGATTTACCCAATTCATTTCTCTAACTGAGATACAGGTTCTTTTCTCTCAGAGAGAGAGATTGAAATTCTGCTTTCAGCACTTTGTGCTTCCCAGAGACTGAACAGCTGCTGTGTTTTCAAAATGTATTTGGTGTGATCAGAAGTTCGTTGTCTGCCAACAACATGGTGATTATCAATCCTTATGCTTGATCTGATGGATTCTGCTCTTTGAAATATGGACTCTTCACTGGGCTTGCTTTTCCTGCCTGAAAGCATTCTCCAAGTGTTGAATAACTCTACGTTGGAGCAATAATTTTTCTAACATAACGTCAACAATCTCTTACTCTGTGGGTTTAACGTTGTTTTAATACTTTTATCTTTGTGCAACAATATTATTATTTTGAAAGGAGGAAATACTTGTGCTATTGATGTTTTTTACTTTGCCAGAGGGCGAAGAGGGGATGAATATTCAGTTTCTTCAAATGGCACTCACCAGTGGCCAGAAGAAAACAGAAGCTGATTACTCACACAACACGCAAGGCGAACCATGAAACTGCTTGCTATGACATCCTGGGAGTGCTGGAAGTCTGTGTTAATAAAAGTAATGGGATTAGTTCATAAAAAGCAAATTCATGAATGGTTGATAATGCAGAGCCACTGCTCAGGCTTTGCCTTAGTTTCCTAAATGATTTATTTCTGTGAATGAGAACACAAACATGTCGTAACTGCACGCTCCAGGTACTGACACAGATCTGTTCCTTGGGAGGTCCATATTCTGTGGTGATAAATGGGTGGATAGATAGATTTGTCATGCAAAATATTCTTTGCTTTTAACTATGCTAACATAGTCCTTGCTTTGGAGAATAGAGGCTCAGCTGAGGGAATAATTATAGCTTCAGAACCCAGAACATAATATTTTCTTTTATTAGGTAAGCAGTTGTAAGCTGATACTGAAATTGCTTAATTTATACTTCTAGCAATGCCCTAGATGTAAAATATAGCAAGTGATCATTCTTAGAAATATTAATATTGTGATTCTTACCCCAATTTACTGAGAATTCAGGAGTGAAATTTTATGTGCAAGTATACAAAATGCTGTGAATTTTGAAGCCTTTAATTAGTAGTTGCAAATTTGTTTGTCCCTTAGCAACGTTGCATTTGCATAAAGATTAAGGCTGGTCAGAATGAAAAGGATAAAACATAGATGGCGGAAACATTAATAAATTAGTAATCATGTATAAAAGATAAGTAGTCTTAGATGTCGTTTCCACAAGCTTTATTAAAATTTAAATTTTTTTTTTTTAAAGCTGCAGTTAATATTTTCTCCACAGTTGATCATTTCTAAAGAAAGATCTGTCATAAGCTGCAGAATTAGAGAAATTAATGTATTGAGGTCAGACATTAGTATGTAAATTAAGCTTTGCTTTCTTCTGGGTGGCAACAGAAGCATTACCTTATATTTGACCTTTCATTCATTTGCCTGACTCAGCTATGTCAGTCAAAACATTTAATTTTAACGAGCAGCTCTAAAGTGTGGGGCTCAGCTTCCTTCTCCTCCCCGTGCCTGCTGGGAATTCCGTGAGAGAGGAGCTAATGGAGGGAAGCTGGGCAGGATTCTCCCTCTGGAGATGGGGAGTTTTCTGGTCCCTCCTCCACAACCCCATTGCAGGACTTCTCCAGGGACAGCTGGCAAGGCTGGCCAGAGCAGCTGTGGCTGCCCCATCCCTGGAAGTGTCCAAGGCCAGGGCTGGGATAGTGAGATGTGTCCCTGCCCTTGGGGAGTTCAGTCATCCCCCTCACCCTTATGGTGTGCTGATGGCAGATGGCAGTGAAATGCAGGAGAAAACGTAATGGTGCATTGCAAGGAGTGTAATTTGTCCGAGGGCTGGGGCAAAAAATCTGCTGTGCACTGGTTCCTTGCAAAGACGTGCAGATCCCAGTAAAATTCTGTATTTATAGACACTGTGCCTGGCTGTGCCTACCCAGGCAGTTTGTCTTCATTAGTTGTGTGGAGACCACATTGAGGTGGGGGCATACCAGTTGAATAATACAGAAAATAAACTTTCACTGAGGTAGTGCCTGTGGCAGCAGTGGAGAACTGCACCTGAATATAATCAGTGTAAGTCAGTAAAGGTGAGTGTGCAGAATAGGCAGGTCTGTGTATAATTCATAATCTGGACAAGCTCCTGTGCAGGTTTTACTTTGAAAAGTCTGAGATTTAATAAAAGTGCAAAATGCACTTTTCACTTGAGTTCAAATTATATGGTCATATTAATTAAGCTCTGGTGCATTAGAAAAAGAAACATAAGGAAATCTTGGGGGAGGAAGCTAAAAAATGAAAACGAAGCATTAAACTTTATAAAGGCAGTAACCTGCAAAAGCAAATTAGGAAGTATATTCCCTTTTTTTTTTTTTTTATACTGAATGGAACTACAAGATTTGGCAGTAAACACTAAATTAAGTTTTCTTGTTCTGATTTAAATATTTTACAGACTTTCCCAATGTATAAGTGGAAAGGAGTGAGACTTGCAGTAGCATACAAAAAAGCTACCAATACTTTTCTGATAAGAAATGCAGATTTGAGAGGTGTTTCAGGTACAGATTTGTGAAGAAAGCACAGGTTTGCAGATGAGGAGCTGTTGTTGCACAAGTCCTGTTTCAGTGAGCCAGGCAGCTCTGGGGCCAGAACTCATTCTTCTGAAGCTGATCCCTTTAACAGTCTCTTTAGTGTTTTCTATAAAAAATGAAATTTCCTCAGCTCTGTGCCTTTTAAAGTAAAGCTTTATATTTTTTAACTAAATACATTAACGATGAATGAATAATGTACAATCCCAAACGCTGTTGAATTTGGAATGAGAAAGGGTTTGGGGCTTCCAGGCGTCATCAAAATGAGAGTTGTGTTCCAAACAGCACGAGCTTCTCTCCTACTGAGCACAAGGTTTCACAGTTGGTCAAGGTCTGGTTCAACTGGCTGAAGATTTGAATTTTTAGCTTCATGAACAGACCTGTTAAGATTAAAAATAGAAGCCTGCGTGCTTGTTGTGTCTTGGCTGTACATCCTGTCACTCTTTTGGCAGGTGTTTGATGGCAGTGAAGCCACCGTCCGATCTTACATGACAAAGAACAAAACTAATAACTTGTTACTTTAAGCTTTACTCAACTAACGACAAAAATAACATTATTTTTCTGCTTTGCTGTGTGCAGCAAAGAGGGACATTATCAAAGCACTACCCAAGATTGCTATTTGTTTATAAAGACTTTCTAGACTTTTGTCTCAGCAGTGATCACATTTATAGACGTTCAGCGTCAGTGAATGTGGATGTGGATACAATAGAGGTGGCGTCAGTTTAAAATTCTGTAGCGACGTTCTTGGCAGAGCAGGTGCTTTGCGACCCGCAGGGTGAGGGTCCCACCCGCGCAGCCGTGACTCAGTGGCACGGGTGGCACGAGCACCACGAGCAGGCTGCTGCAGTGGAAGGTGGGGTGGAAGGGGATGAGCTCTGGTCCCTCCCCAGCCCACCCCGTGTGATCCTGTGCCGCAGGTGTCCACGCCTGGAGCTCGCGGCGGAGTCGAGCGAGTCGCTGCTGGACGCGCTGCCGGCCGAGCGGCCCGAGCCGGACGCTCCCCGGAGCCCCGAGGCCGGGCTGCCCTCCCTCTGCCTCAAGCAGGTGTTCCCCAAGTACGCCAAGCAGTTCAACTACCTGCGGCTCGTGGACAGGGTGGCCGCGCTCTTCATCCGCTTCCTCGGCGTCAAAGGCACGACCAAGCTGGGCCCGACGGGTTTCCGCACCTTTGTAAGGTTGGTTGGATGAAAGCTGGCCCCGGTAGTGGGGCACCTGTAGGTTCTGTAATGCCTCCTGACGTTGCCTGTTTCGTTGTAAAATAGATAAGTTTTTGTCATTGCAAGCTCCTGAAATCCCTGACCTGTGACTCCGTGTCTGGCGGGGAGCGGGGCCTTTATTTGACAGCAGATCAGTGATCCTTTGGCAGATACAATTTGCAGCCTTCGTCGACATGTCACGTTCCCAGCAAATCGTAGAAATACCATTGTGAGAAAGTGACAACTGAAATTGGGTCACTTGATGTGATGGTGGCGGCTGTGGGGGCACAGCCGTGCGCCCCAGCCCGCGGGAAGGATTCCCGAATGCCAGCTCCTGATGCACTGTGCACGAAGGATTTGCACTGTGAAATTGCACCATGCAATGACAAGGAACTCAATTTATTTTTTTTTCACATGCTTTTTACTTGGGAGGGTTTTTTTGTTGTTTTTTTTTGTGGGTATATCTGTTTGAGTCATGGTCCAAATATCTCATTTTCTGTCTTTGATTGACTGTGACAAAAGAGATGAGGAGCAGCAGCAGATGTACTCTTAAAACACAGATCCTGTTTCTATGCAGATGCATTTAGCATTCAGGAATGAATATAAACAATTTGGTTTATACAAATTAGGATATATAGAAAATGACTGAAGGCATCTGCTCTATCCACAGACCAGCACAGGATTGCATCCAGTTCTGTATTTTCTGTTGTTTAATCCAGCCTTATTTTGGCACTTGTCAGGAACACAGAATAAATGCCAACATTTCCTTTTAAGAATATTCAAATAGATTGTCTTATCTGAATGAAATAGTATTTGCAGCTCCTTAATGCATGTTAAATTCAACCTTTTATTATTGGCAGATATTTTGTTTGTTTCTTCCCAGAGGATCTGTACCAGCTATATGGCCCTTTTGTGGAGTGCTGTCATTGCTGCTCATTTCAGAAGGAAGGTCACATTTCTGTGAGCTCTATCACTTCTCAGGAATAAAATGGTCCACCAGCAGGATTTCGTGTGTGGGCACGTGTGTGTGGGCAAGTGCTTGCACAGACTGTCACCCAAATTCTGGCTAATCAGAATCTATCCTCCTTCAATATTTTCTTAATTCTAAAAAATAACTAAAAGAGAAACACTGAATGTGATTCTGCTCCTTGCTTGGGTGCTGCCTGAGATTTTTTGGGACTGTCTAGGCCAGACCTTGCTCTCTATTTTAAGGAACTCTGCCGAGGTCTGTGGACCGAGAGTCTTTTCAGTTATCCAGGTTTGGGGTGGGTTTTTTTTGGGTTTGTTTTGTTTTCATTTTCAGGCTAGAAATTTTGGCCAGCTCTTTGGCATGTGCACGAGTGGCAGCCAGGCTGCCAGACATCTGGAAATCCTGGACACACATCCAATTCCCATATTCTGATGAGCACCGCACTGCGGACCCGGACACACAAGTGTCACATCTCCACAACCCCAGCAGCCCATCCAGGATGATGCTGCTGTTCTCCAGGCAGTGTTCAGAAACACGAGGGTAAATCCCTTCGGTGTTCAGGCATGGAGAAGCAATGCTGTGCCTGAAAGTTTTCCTCCAGCCCTTTTCAAACAGGATCAGTCAGACAAATAAAGGAGTATTTCGCTGTGCAAACTCTGCCTCGTGCAGATTTGGGAGGGGGGGGTTTCACAATGGACCAATTAATTCCATTCTGTTACAGCCTCAGAGCACTGGCAGTAGCCTGGGAGAAAGCTCTGTGTAACGGTCAGGTCATATTTTTAATTGAAATATTCCGAGTTTGGGCCTGTTCTCTTTCAGATACGAGCACTTAATGAGCGCTGGTCTGTCTGATATCTGCTCTGTGTGTGTTATTAGACTGAGCAGGTTACAGTGGGGCTGCAAATACGGTCTCCCAGTTGCCCTTGCAGAATTTTCCCTTACTTGTGAGCTTGGGTGTAATCAGAATCTCTTCTTTATTTTGTCTGTTTTTAACAGAAACTGCAAACTGAGTAACAGCAGTTTTTCAATGGCTGCTGTAGATATTCTGTACATTGATATCACAAGGAGGTGGAACAGCATGGGAATTGACCACAAAGAATCAGGTAACACAGGTTTGTATTCCAAAACTGCAGCTGCTGGATTTTGGGGTTATTTTTTTTCCAATTTTGGTAGCTTAAGCACACCTCAGACATTCAGTAGAAATGGGAGCAAGGCACGTGCACCTGAGGCATGAACAGCCAGTTCTTGGGGTTAGTTCTGTGGCAGTTCCCCTTCAGGGCAGTACTACTTTAGGTAGGTTAGGGCCACCTCAGTTTCACAGGGATGTAAAATATGACTATTTGCATTTAGCAGCTCAGGGTGGGTATGTCTTCTCTGTGGTTAGCTGATAAAATTTCACTAGCAAAAAATAATAGACATGGAACTGAATCTTAAGGCTGTCATAAATTAAGAGATTTATTGACAGTCTCAGCGAACCAGATGTTTTTTAGGTGTTAAAACACAAAGTACCCACCTGTTCCTGTTGGCTTTGTGTTTGGCTCACTCCCAGCTCTAACCATGACAGTCACAATTCTGTTGTTCTAAAACAGCAGCTTCTAACTTTTCTCGTGGTACGCTTCACATGAGTGTCACTTCCAGGGGGAGAAAGTGTGTGTGCTACCAGAGGTGGTTTCCCTGCCTGCAGCTCACCATGACTGATAAAATAATTTACTGAGCTGGCAGCTGCTGCTTTCAGATAACTCAACAATTCCTTTGCAAGCTGTTTTACAGCCAAGATTGTAAACGACCCCAGCTGCAGCCTTGGTTGAGAGAAATTATACTTCAGAATGTAATTGTCATATTTTGAAAAGGTGCCTTTCCTGCAGCATCAGTAAGCCAACACTAAGTTAAAAACCCCAAACCTTTCAATATCTCGTCCTAAAATAATCTTCTTAAGTGTCTGTTCAAACTGGGAGAGCCAGTTAAAGCACAAAGCAGCTCTAACTGTGCCTCGTGGCTGCCATTCTGCACAGCCAATTGGGGTCTGGCTTCTTAATTAAGATTTCGAGTAGGTATTACTTCAAGGTTTTAAATACAATAATTAGTGTTAATGCCCAGCCCCTCTTCCCCTTGGCTGTGGTAACGTGTTATTAGCGAGATGTGATCGAACAACACCTGAAGAGTCTTGTACTGCAGCATGTGGCTTCTGCAGGGGGCTTTTGTTTGTGAAGGGGGCAGAGTTTTATTATAACACAGACATTTTTTGGCACTGCACACTTCAGCTGTTTGTTTTTCATTCAGTTGAAACAAAACCACCGTTGTGGAATTACTGGGTCTGGCTGAACAAATGGCCTCTTCACCTTCAAAAGGGTCCGTACCTGTGCAGAGAGGAAGTCACGCTTCAGATGAACTCACATCCCTGAGGGGTGATGCTTGGTAATGGGGGTGTCCTTACAGTGCTGCAGACTGAAAGGGCACACTGCTGTGAACTTTTGGGCTCGGGCTGTCTCTGAAAACACGGGGTTCAAAAGACTCGGTTCAGTTGCCGACACAAACTTGTTTCTCTCTCCAGCTGGATTGTTTTCCTCGATGCTCAGCATGTTCCTGGGTGTGTGATTTGGTTTCAGTATTTGAGGCAGCAGAAATCAAGGCTGATACCACAGCAGTTTAATGGTCCAGTGTCTTTAGATGGGCTGTTGCTGTACCAGTTTGGATTCCAGGCTGAGGAAGCTGCCTCAGTGACAGGGAATATCACTGTCTGTAGCCCAGGTTGGGCTTACCCTCCACTGACACACTCTGTGAGCTCCTGTGTGTGACACACAAACACAACCTTGGCAGGCAGACAATTGCTTTTCTTTCTGAGCATTCTAGAGGGCTGCCATTTAAATGGAAAGGTGTTGACTGGCTTGTGGTGTCCACACCCAGCACATGCACATTTGGTCTTGCTGCCACAAGAGATGGTATTATGCCTGAGGAATGGCAGGGAACTGCGCTCTGAATCCCCTGTAAACACCTTTTCCTTGCAGGAATGTGCCTGCAAGCCTTTGTGGAAGCTTTCTTCTGCCTGGCCCAGAGGAAGTACAAGTCCCTCCCTCTGCACGAGCAGGTGCTGTCGCTGATCGAGTTCTGTGAGTGTCACTTGGCTGCCCTGGACGAGAGGCGCCTGCTGTGGGGCTGGGGGGTCCCGGAGCGCCGGGGGGTTGCTGGGGGGCCCTGCCAGGCCGAGGGGCTGCCCCTCAGCCCAGCTGCCCCCGCCCTGCTGCCCCGCGCGGCCACGGCCACCAAGCTGGCCGAGTACAGAAACCAGCGCAACTAGGGGGGCTTCAATCCCAGATGTGTCCCTGAACTGCTGGGGGACACACAGGCACTGAATTCCTTCACCTGAGCGTCACAGCTGTTTGTTTCAGCTGGTTTTTTTTTATTTATGGTCTTCTAAAAGTCTTCTGCAAGCTGCCCTTCTCAAATACCGACCTTGGCAATGGCTGTTTCTTTGCCTCTCTGTGGGTGCACCTCCCGTGACAAACTGGGCCTTCCTCCTGAGTGCTGGAAACCAGGCATGAAGGGAAGGGCCAGCGCCCTGGGATTGGCTGCACTGGTGGAGGGGCACACTCGTGTCAAAGGAATTACACTGCTCTGTGAGCACAGGACATGGCGCAGAAACCAAGGAAGGAGCTGCAGTCTCAAACGCCAGACTTTGGAAAACTGAAACCTGGAATTGCATTTGTGGTCAGACATCAGGCTTTGACCCCTCTTCTTTCAATGGCTTGGCTGTACACGCTGGAATCGATACAGATTTGGTCATTGTCTGTGTACTTATTTTTTAAAGACAGACTTAAAACACTGAAATCCTATTTTGGCTTCTACTTCTTTGTACGTGTCTTTGCCATGACAAGTACTGTTAGTTTTTTACAGAAAAACTGAAGCTACTTATCCTTTTGCTTCCACAGAATCAATAAGCTCACACTTATTCACTGGAAAAAAAAAATTTGCTTCCTAAAGTCAAATTTGGTGAATGAAGTTGAGGTTTTGTCTTCAGGGACTCGGCACTGCGTCTGCAGAAAGCTGTCCAGTGTAAATTCCAGTGAAACCAGTCCTGTCACTGACTTCAGCCTAAACTAACTGTAATCTAGGTTTGCTCATTTTTTGCCATTTGCACGTTTGTTACCCTGTTGGCACCTGCAGTAACATCTACAGCAGAATTTCTGTATGTCTTTGCACTTAATTTCTTTCCCCTTAAATAACAGTGTAAGTCTGTAAAAGTTAGATCTATATTGTTTGATAGGATATTGTGTCAGAACTGCTGGGCTGTACCACTGGAATTGTACAGAGGAGTCTTATTTTTCAGGAAATGAACCGTAACTTCACCTGCTTCTTAGGGGGGCTGAGCACAACAGAGACTGGCTGCAATAACAGGACGTGTAATAAGCACAGGAATAACTGGGAACTTCAGGGCTGTTCAGTGAAACCCTTCGTGATCTCATATTTTATTCCTATAATCTATGGCTACATCTGAGTTTGATTTTCCTCCTTTGTTCTGCTCTTCAATGTTAATGACTTTGCTTATGTTTTAGTGTCCTCCACCCTGTCAGAAATGGCAGAGCTCTGAGCTGGGCACTGAGCTCTGGGCTGGAGAACATTCCCTGAGCTCCAGGTCGGAATATCCCGGTGCTGGTGCTCCAGAAACGTGTCCATTCAGGAAGCAGAGTGTCAGTGAGGGGGAGTCCACCCATTCCATGCCATGGACTAAATGCACACGTGGCACCGAGTGAGTTTGTGCTTCAGGGAGGGGTTTGAGTTTCTCCCCTGGTTTCAGTTTAAGCAGCATGTGTTTTCCCCAAGTGGCAGTAGCAGCATGGCAGTGCAATGCAGGAGCCAGGCTGAGCCCACACGTAACTAATCCCCAGCATGTGTTAATCTCAGGTGTGGGCGCCCCTTCTCCTTATCTTTTCCTGTAACACCAATAAAATAGAAGTAGATGATCTTTTTTAGTTCAACAGCCAGACTGTTTGAAACGTTATGTATTGTACATAAGAGGACAATTGTAGACTAATGCCACTGCCCTCAGCCTTGTTTGAGTTTCATAAAGATTATTGCAGTATGAAGATAAAATGCCAAACTCCAAGGTCTGGCATCTGTCAGAACAAATGAAGCTGAAAGGGTCATTTTTTCTTTTTTTTTTTTTTGCACTTTCATTGTAACATATTTGAAGACATTCACAAGTTGAAAAATGGTTACTTCTCCTTTTGTGACATATGACATTTGTCTTGCGATTGGCAGTGTGTTACTGGAAAATAGCTTACAGTTCCTCTCATCTCGTGATTGATGTCCTGGAAAGAGAGTTACGGAGGAGCCGGGTTGGAAATGCTGCGCCTGTGAATGCCTTCCCTTGCACCTTTCAAGTAGTACAATCTGTGGCCTAAATTATGCAAGTTTTGCTATTGTATAACTTACCCTGTTATCAGTAGAATAAATTAACTATTGTATATTGAACACTGATAAGATCTCTCTCTGTGCTGGAGATCTTTTTACTCTGGATCTTGGAGAGGGTTTTATAGCCCCAGCATCCACAGGCTGATGCAGCACACCCTATTCATCTCCCACTTCAGATATGAAGGGTCCCTCGTAGAACAGTCAAAATATTCAATTATCTGCCTCTAGTAATCCAGTGTTCATGTATTTATATAATTGGAAAATTGAATGCCATATTATTCTCAGAGAGGGGGGAGGGGATAAACCAGGAATGTTCTTTAGAGACTTAATGGCAGTCACATTTCTCTTCCCTCCTGTCTAATTCAATTTCCTCTGGATATTATTTAGCATCCAATTTCATAGAGCCTTTGAGTTACCAGTCTGTGCCCATGGAAATGGCCAGAGACACTTTATCCAGAACATGAATGCTAATGCACTGATAATCTGTTAATCCTGAGGTACCTCTCTAACTACAGTCACAATACATGAAAGGTTGGGGTTTTAATAGCACTTTTCTATATATTCTTTTCAGAGGATATCACAGCACTCATTATTCCATTTATGACATACATGATACGGATATTGTACACCAGTGAAACCTTTCTCATCAGGCACACCGGGTCTGGTATTCCTCTCTGGAAAGAAATCAGAATAAAGCAACGTCTAATGAAGATTTGAGGCAAGTGAGTCCAGAATTTCAGCTCCCCTTCCCTGCACTCTTGTGTGTAGCCTGAACGTGCTGAGCACTTGCTTTTTTTAGGTAAGAGCTCTGCTCACGTCCCTGCCTTGGTGAGGGTTCCAAAGCTTTCTCCATGGGGAGGGAGGGAGGGCATTGCTGTGCCTGGGCACGGGACCAATTTGGTCCCTTCCCCTGCTGCAGAGGTCCTGGGTGGATGAGAGATGGTGTTTGGGCTCCTGAATCCTGCTGGAACCTCGTCAGTGAGGTGCCTACATCTGCCCAGCCACGCTTCACTTGTCCCGCTCTGCCCTCTGGTTGTTCCTCCGTAAGGGGAGATTGATAAAGTATTTATTTTTCTCTGGCTGTTCCCATCTGTAGTGCCTTGAGAGCATCCTCCTGCTCGCTGGGTTTGTTCCAGCAGGATGAGGCCCCTCCTGCCATCCCTGCCCCAGCAGCCCAGCTCCTGCTTTTCTCTCGGATTATTTCTGCCTTACTTACCTTCACCTCACCTTAAGCACGCACACACAAAAAATCAGCAGCGCTACCCAGATAAATCCATCTGGTCTCTGTCTCAGCCTCATTTAACCTCCCATTGAAGAGATTGTATCACATGGTATTCAGCTGGAACCTATTACCTTGCACGCCCAAGCATATCCCATTGAATTACCCCGGCCCTGGGCCCGTGGTGTTTGTTAATGGCTGCTTTTAACTTGGGGGTGATTTATTCCAGCACGTCTCTGTTTCGTGCAGCAGGGTGAGTTGGTGAGTTAAGCAGAGCCCAGGGAGGGACAGCAGGGGAGGCAGAAGGCAGGGTGGCTTCACACCTGCTGGGATTTCCCAGTATTCCCATTCCTCACCACTGTCCCAGGCAAAGCAAGCGGTCGGGACTGGGAGCGGCTCTTGGCCGCACTGCAAGGGATGCAGGAGGACACAGTGCTCTGATTCTTTTACAATTTACTGCAGGTGTAGTGCAGAACTGGTATGAAATTGCGGTAAAGGACAAAATCAAAAGCGTGTTATGGTGATGTGATGCAATTTTCCCTCTTCCTACACCTCATCAGTGGAAGAACAAAAGCCCTTCTGCAGGTCAGGGTCAGAGACACCAGTGAGCAAGCTGGAAAAAATGGGAATGTGAGTTATGGATGCCAACCCAGCTCCCTGATTTGTAGTTTGGAGTCTTGAGGCTCATGTTTGTCCTCTTGTCAGCCCAGATCCCCCAGCACACCTTGCTCAGGGGGTGAGGGAGGACCAGGAGGAGTAACAATGACTGTAATAAATCAAAGTCAGTCAACTTGGGAGCTCTTTTATTCAGGCTTCATTCCCCAAAGATGTGGCAAAAAAATCAAATGTTTGAGGTTATTCAATTATGGCTCATACCACCAGTGGGGAAATCTGATCATGAACAGGGCCTGCATCAATATTATTTATGTGATGAGCTGTGCTGGCAGAAATCTTGCAGGTGTACAAGTCCTTTCCTCTCACCTGGCACCGCCAGCCCTTCCTGCAGGACATGGGTGAGTGTGGGCAGTCAATAGACAGGGATAAAATAAAGTTGTGAACAGCAGCAGGAGCTGAAATAGCAACATCAATAACAGTTTCCAGATAATGATCTAATTAGCACAAACAACAAGTTCCCGCTAATGACTCTTGTTCTTCCAGCTCCTTCCTTTCTGCTTGCCTGTCATTATTGACTTCCCTGGCAGGAGCGGCCGCGCTCCCGTCTCTGGGGCCGAGGCTGCCGAGGTTTGTTTCCTGCCTGCCTGAGTTCTGCTGCACAGGGTGTGTGCTCGGGAGCCGGGGCTGTGCACGGAGAGGGGAGCAGGATCGGTTTGGGTTGGGCTTTGTAGCTTTGGGGAGGCCCTGGGAAAGTTGTGCTCCTGCTGCACGTGCCCCTTGTGAAAATGAGGATGCTGATGTTGGAGCGGGAGCTGATTGGGGGGGGGCTTGGGAAGCCGTGAGGGAAAGATGATTGTCAGCAGCAAAGATTAGAGATTATTTATTACTGGAGGAACAGTAACAAACTGTTTCTGTCTGTGCCCACCCTGGGGATGAGCCTCATCCCTGCACCTCCTGCCTCCCTCCCACTGAAACAGAAAGGCTCTTAAGGCCCCAGCTTGGCAAGTATTGGCTTAATGCTGTCATTTCCTTGGTTGTCACCCCTTGGAGGGCTCTGGAGCCGGGGATGCCGAGAGCTGTCAAGTGCCCAGGGATGTTCTGGGTGTTGTGGGTGAGGATTCGGCTCTGCTCGAGCGAAGCTGGAACAGCCACTAAGGAGGTTTTATCAA